ACGATCCTTAAATCTGCACGTTAACGATATACCCGGACAAGCAAGGTCGCTCGCACTATCCAGCTAAGGAATCGTGGCTGCCGTCATCCAGGCACATGAAAACACTGCAAAACGCCCTATTCAGCACGTTTCTGCAGGGGGGCAGTGTTCAATCTTCCGATTAAAATGATGTGCGCACCCTAATACTATATCGGCTTCATAGTTGCCTTCTCCCTGCTATATGTTGGCTACTGCAAAAAGAAAGCGGAGAAAGGAAAACACTCCGATATCAACCGTCTAACCGAGCGCACACGGGAAAACGGCCACCACAGAATCACATCCCGGACGTAATTAACACACGTCACCTCACCCCAGCGAAGCATCAGCATGGGTTCCGTAAAGTGCATAGCACAACAACAGCACTTAACGCCATAAACACTCAGATAACTCGATGCCTTAACCGGAACCGCTCCTGTGAGAACTATTCTAGTAGCGTTGGACCTGTCCATGGCGTTGGACACTGTCATTCATTANCAATATAATTACCCGCAAGTCAAAGCGGAAGATAAATACAAAAGCTGTCATACTCAAGGAAATAACGGAGCACTTAGCGACTTCCCCCGTAAGTCGTGAATTTGTCAAACATTCCCATGAGCTAGCTGACCCCCATTTCAGCAAACCAGCACCCATAGATCTGGTTATTGGAAGCGACATACTTCCACAAATTCTCCACCCCCGAGCCCGAAAAATACAAGATAATGTAATAGCGCAAGAAACTATATTTGGTTGGGTAATAAGCGGTTCCGCCGCAAAACTATGAAAATAGAGGGCAATAAATAACATCCCATTGCCATAAGCTCTAACCCATGAGCACCCTGTAAAGCGCAAAACTTTGGAAACAAAGGGCAACAAATAAGACCCCACTCACTGAAACCATCTAGCTCCATCCCATGAGCTTTCAATAATAAAGTCTGTTATTCCCCAATAGTTAAATAGATTAAGCCGCAAAGCAAATACCGCCTTCTGCATTATGTTTCGTATTTGCTAATTGCAGAACGGTTCAACAAAAGCAAGGAGACGATCCTTAAATCTGCACGTTAACGATATACCCGGACAAGCAAGGTCGCTCGCACTATCCAGCTAAGGAATCGTGGCTGCCGTCATCCAGGCACATGAAAACACTGCAAAACGCCCTATTCAGCACGTTTCTGCAGGGGGGCAGTGTTCAATCTTCCGATTAAAATGATGTGCGCACCCTAATACTATATCGGCTTCATAGTTGCCTTCTCCCTGCTATATGTTGGCTACTGCAAAAAGAAAGCGGAGAAAGGAAAACACTCCGATATCAACCGTCTAACCGAGCGCACACGGGAAAACGGCCACCACAGAATCACATCCCGGACGTAATTAACACACGTCACCTCACCCCAGCGAAGCATCAGCATGGGTTCCGTAAAGTGCATAGCACAACAACAGCACTTAACGCCATAAACACTCAGATAACTCGATGCCTTAACCGGAACCGCTCCTGTGAGAACTATTCTAGTAGCGTTGGACCTGTCCATGGCGTTGGACACTGTCATTCATTAAACGCTACTAGAAGATATAGAGGCCTCCTCACTCCCACAGGGCCTCAAACGGTGGTCGGCGAATTACCTGAGTGGTCGACACAAAACCAGCAAGCCACGTAAAATTAAACAGGGTTGTTGTTGTTGTAGCGGTTACCAAGCCCCGCTCGGGTCGGTTCATCCGTCAACGTATTTGTCCGTTTCAGCTAAGGGGAGGCCCAGGAAGTGTGCGACTTCGACTGTCCATAAGGACAGGGGCGTCAGATGGGTGGGGTTCTCAGGGCATGTGAAGAGGTGCCGAGAGTCATGTGGCGACTCTCCACATGCCGGGCATTGGTTGGGCACATCCTCCTTAATTCTGCTCAGGTATGAGTTAAGCCTGCTGCGATAGCAGACAAAGTTCTGTCCCGTCCACGTCCGGTGATTGTGTGCCTAGAACGGCATTCACAGGGCGGGAGCCTACATAACTCGAGACTGTTTCCCTGTGAATGCCGCTCAGGGCCTGTCGGTAGGATGACGGGTCCAGAGGTTGTTTAATGGTGTCGGGGCGTCATCAGGAGGCAACCGGTCGCTGTTCGTAGTGCCGGGGAAACCTGCCAACAAAGAAGATTCGTATCGGCCGATAACACTCCTTTCCCCGCTAGCGAAGACACTCGAAGCCTTGCTGCTCCCGTATTTCACAATCCACCTGACCCCAGCGAAGCATCAGCATGGTTTCCATAAAGTGCACAGTACAACAACAGCACTTAACGCCATAAATACTCAGATAACTCGTGGTCGTGGCGTTTGACACCGTCTGCCATTCCACGCTACTAGAAGATATAGAGGCTTCCTCTCTCCGACAGAGGCTCAAACGGTGGTCGGCAAATTATCTGAGTGGTCGACACTCGTCGGTAATGTTTAGAGACAAATCGAGTAAACTCAGAAAAATAAAACAGGGGGTTCCACAGGGTGGTGTCCTTTCCCCACTACTGTTTAACTTTTACATTTCAAAGCTCCCTCAACCACCAGAGGGAGTCTCGATTGTCTCTTACGCCGACGATTGCTCGATCATGGCGACTGGGAATGGAATTGATGACCTGTGTTCGAAAGTAAACGGGTATCTCTCCGATGTTTCTCGCTTCTTCACTGCAAAGTGTCGGTCAGGCTACCGCTGGGAATTCTCGTCGATAACACACCAATTCCGACGGTGAATATCCCCAAAATACTCGGAGTAACATTCGACAGCCTGCTCTCCTTCTCTGCGCAAGCAACCGCTATTGTCAATAAAGTAGAGAGCCGTAACAAGGTCCTCAAGTCGCTAGCCGGCAGTACTTGGGGCAAAGACAAAGAAACGTTGCTGGCAACATACAAGGCAATAGGCCGGCCGGTTTTAAACTACACAGCACCAGTGTGGTCGCCGGGGACTAGTAGGACGCAGTGGACGAAGCTACAGACTGTACAGAACACCGCACTCAGGACAGCGACCAGATGCCTCCTGATGTCGCCAGAAAATCACCACCACAACGAGGCACAAATACTCCCAATAAAGGAGCACAACATAATGCTCTGCAAGTGGCCACCCGAACAGACAGCTGCTTGCAGAGGAGCCCTCGCCTAGGAACGTCAGGAGGCATCTATACGAACTGAAGGACGAAGTCCAGAGGTTCATCAAGCAGCCTCTGGACCCGTCAGCTTACCGACTGGCCCTGAACGGCATTCACAGGGAGTCAGTCTCGTGTTATGTACACTCTAAACCTATGAATGCCGTTCTAGGCACACCACCACCGGACGTAGACGAGACGGAGCTTCATCTGCCTCGGGAGCCACGAACAACAATAGCCCAAATTCGATCTGGCTACTGCAGCAGGTTAAACTCATACCTGAGTAGACTGAATGCGGATGTGCCAAATGAGTGTCCGGCATGCGGAGAGACCCCACATGACTCGAAGCATCTCTTCGCATGCCCGGAAAACCCGACAATCCTAACGGCTGTGTCCCTGTGGACCGACCCGGTGGAGGCTGCACGCTTCCTAGGGCTGCCGCTAGTGGAACTTTACGACGACTGAGATATCAACCGATCTAGGCGGGGTTGTTGTAGCCGCTACAACAACAACAGGCACCCTCCCCATTAAGTATCCGGACATTCAAATCGAGGTACGTTTAAACGGGTCTCATCCGATCCTTTGTCTCTCTTGTTCACTGGGAGTGGTTTTTTACGTTGCGGGTCCCAAACCCATTGCTGGGAGGGGGTGGTTTTTTATCTGAACCGCTTGGAGTCGCACCTACTGGTGAACAGACGCTGCAGATTTCAGTGAGCCCTTAAATTGAATATTACGGAGTTGCACCACCGAAGCTCCCTTTCTTTCTGCCGTGACCCAAGGCTCGATTTGGTTGCCGCATCCCGCACATGGGTTGCTCACGTTACCCATAGTGCGCGAATGAGGACACAAAGAGTCGGGATTTAATATAGCCGTGAAATTGTAGCTGTATACATAGAACAACGACTATACCACATTGCACCTATTTTTATTAGCCCCTTTTATGAGTTGCATTCGATTTCGCTGGTTATCGAAGATCGAATGTGAAATCTCGTACCGTGTCAAAATTTTCATTGAGTATCGAATTTTATGTCGAACAGAATTTTGCTTTCGATGGTGTAGCGAAGTGATGGAAAATTGTGAAAAATGTATGATTTGGCATTTGTTTTCTTACTTTTTGGCGGCTAGACACTAATTTTAAAAAATGTTTATTAATTTCATGCAGTTCAAACCTCGTAAATATTAAACACAACTTCGAAAGGCTGGTTTTACTTATGAAAGCAAATCCTAATACTCAGTTGGCACGATCTCTGAGAATCAAATCGTAGAGCTGTTGATAGTTTTAAAATATTTTTAATAGATTTGGCTCACAAACGCCTCTTTAGACAGTCGGAAGTTTTTAATAAATCTAGACGAATTTCTTAAATATGTATATAGTATGTCAAAATAGTATATTCGAAAGACTACACTTAAACTCTCTTAAACGTTTTCTACCCCTGGCCAGTTGACTACGCTCTCATCCTCTGACGAATCGTCGAACCAGAGCTCCGTTGTACTAATTTTTAATAAGTTTTTTTAAACTCGCTTTCTTTTTTACTTCATTTTAATTTGCACAAGTTTACATAAATATGTAAGCACACTATTGTGTTTGCCCGATTTGTAAACAAAGCTTCTCAGCGGTGAAAAATATACTATTGTGAACAACCTAAACGAGCTAAATTCACAATAGCGCTATTCTTCATCGAATGAGCGTCATAATACCAAATTAAAATTCGTTCAATCAGCACTTTCGACCACAGTCGAAGATCGAATGCAACTCATAATAGGGGCCATTGTATTAACGTTAAGACTTTATTTTTTTAAGTCTCACGTAGATTTACTGCATACATTTTATTGAGTGTGTATTTGAAGTTATTTTTTATTTGATTTTCAGGTTTGCTGTAAAGACCTCTGGTATTTAGAAGCAACAAGGCCACTGTATGCAGTTAAAGTTGGTTTGGTTCGTGCGTCTACGCATGCTTTAGAACTATGTTGGACGGCTACAACATTTGCGACAGCATATGAGTTACAAACACAAAAGATTGAGCCAGCAACTATAGCGACTAAAGTTGTAACACCATCATCAATTACTCCTAGTGCCTCATCTACGTCAGTTGCCACGAATCAAATATCGACGAATGGACTGCCCCCCAACACAATTCAACCTTCCCCAGTATTGACTACCACAACTACGAAGCATCAAAAGATACACAATGCAGCACTTCCTTCGGTTTGTTTACAACAATCTACCACAAAAGTGCTGAATAATCCTATTATACAGCAGCAGCAGACTCAGCAACAATCACAATCTTCCCAGCAGCAAACCCATTTGCAGGGCGCAACCATTTATATAGCACAACAACATGTGCCACAAACACAACAAATCGGTCAAATCAAAGCGAATATTGTATCTTCTGCGCCAAGTATTGCGGAGAATACATTATCGGCTACACGCATATTAAACACATCAACGCCGACAATAGTAAATTCTAGCACACAGGTTAGTGCCACTTTGGTAAATGTATCGCAGCAGCAACCAACTGTTTCAATAGTGAATAGCAATATAACTACTATACTACAAAAGTTCCGACCAAACACTGTTGTGGCTCGTACTTCGGCCGTAACAACACCAATTAATACAGGCACGATTGCGGTATCATCTGCTGTGCACTCAAATGCTGGTGCTTCGAATCTACGTGTTGTAAGTGCAGCTGGGATACCGGTAACAACAACAGCTCCAGCCAATACTGTAAGAATTGTATCAGGAAATACTGGACAGACCTTACGTCTAGCTACCTCACATACCACGGCCAACACTACTGCTACTATATTAAAAACATCTCAAACTATAGGAAATACAATCGCTGGACAAATACAAAACAGTTCCGTTGCAAATGCAGGAAATTCCATAGCTACCGCCACAACAATTGGTGGCAAGCAATATATTATACAGAAACCTTTAACATTAGGCTCAAACGTACAATTTCAATTGGTTAAAACCAGCACTGGAGGCGTGGCCGTTCAAACACTGCCGAAAATTAATTTAAATTTGGCTAAAAATACCGGTACTTCAGGAACATTAGCTGCCGTTGGGAGTCAGCAGGTTTCGGCTGGCGGACAAATTGTAACAGCAACTCAAGTAGTCGGTAGCACTGCGGGCTCACAACCCCAACAGCAGTTCAATGTGAATTGTAGTACATCTGTTGCTAGTACAGGTTCTACTAGCGGCCAGCAAAAACCGCTGGTATCTGGCAATCTTGTAAAATTGGTTTCACCGCATACCGTTAGCGGCGGAAAGTTAATAATGAAAAATTCTAATATTCTCCAGGTGGGAAAAGTTTCTTCTAATGTTGCTGGTAAACCTGCATTTGTTATCACCAACAAGCAAGGGCAGCAGTTAACAAATCAACAGATTATAATTGTCACCACTGGTGCTGGTATACGAACAATACCCGCATCGAGTGTTATGACTCAAGCTGGTGCTGGTAGCATCGTTTCAATAGTGGGTTCGACATCGACCACTGCTACAGTTGCAACTAACAGGAATGTGGTATCCACTCAGACCGGTGTCAAAATGATTCGGGGAGTAACTAGCACAACCGGTCGACCCATTACTTTAACACTACCTTCAACAACACAATTGTCACAGCAGCAGCAACATGTAACCAGTCAACAGCATCAGCAAAAAGTGAGTGTACCATCTTCAAACGTTCAGCAAAAAACTATAACACTGGGCGGTAAGGCAGTAACGGTGCAGATGGCTTCTAATCCAAATGTGACTGGAATGGCTAAAACTGTTACGATTGTTGGTTCAAGTTCTGGACATACCCAACCCCAAACCATTGTTACCAGTGGCATTGCTGGCAACACAGGTAGTAAGTTAGTAATGCTGCCTTCGAATACAACTACAGTAAATAAAAAGGGTTTCGTAAATATTTTAAATGCTAGCGGTACAAGTAATACCAGTGGAAATACCATGCAGCGCGCAATTAAATTGACATCGAAAAATGTTGTGGGTGTAACAAATTCGCAAATTGGCATCGCGACGCATGTCAACAATGATGGGTCAAATGAAGCGACCGTTGCCATAGCATCATTGACAGATCCGAATTATGCAGAAGGTGACACTATGGACGATATAATCGAGCAACTAGATGGCGCCGTAGGCTCTTTCGTTGGTTATGATCATGTGGAAACCGAAGATATAGATGATGGGTCTGCAAGTATATTAGCCCCAGTAACGATGAATGACATTGGCGATGAAGCTAAGGAAAAAAATAAATGCAGCAAATTCAACAAGTACGAGGGAAAATGCTTAAGAAATGAAATTTTTAATTTTTATACCGGTGACATCAGTTCATCGTTCGAACCCGATTCGAAAAAAACGAAAGATGATACATTAAGTTATATTAACGGGGGTAGTAAAACCGAGTTTGGTCAAGAAGATACTCGTATACCTGTTCCAAATTTGCATTTTACCAATAAAAGCGTTCAGCAAGTCTCAACATCTAACCACGTTACCAACTGTGTAAGTAAAGAAAGCGGTGAAAGCCGATTTCCTGAGAGTTTTCTTACGAGTCCTTACTACTTTTATTTGTATACTTGTAGCATAAACCACAATATCCCCATGTAGGCTGTGATTCGTTAGTAGCGCAACCGAAGTATTTATACATACTACCAGCTTATAATAACGCCCAAGCTCCTAAGTTTCCAGATACTTCAAACTCATTTTGTTGAAATAATGTTTGTTAAAACAACAGGTACGTATCATATTCAAATCTTGAAATAATTGTTTTTGTAAGAGCAAAGAAGCGCATCTCTAAAATGAATAGGGGAATGATGTAACCAGTCCTTAGACCTTAGATTAAAATATATCTTGGCAATCACTCTTGTAGTTATTGTAATTTGTAATTTATTTCAGTCATATGAAACAGACATTCCTTACAGACTAAAGCCAGAAATTAGGTACTTAAACGATACGTGTAAAACATAAAGCACTCTACAGTTTCGAGATCAAAGAGAAAATAAATAAACTTTATGGAAGAGAAAAATCAAGTTCGATAGAATTCGAGATTGTGTTGAATTCACTCTTGAAATAGGAGCGTTTCTAGCATACTCTGTTTTACAATTTCCGCAATAAAAAGGCATAGGATTGCAAAGAATCCTTTGAGGAACATTGAAGTTGACCTGCTCTAGGACGGTAGGGCAATCGATCACACCATTTATTAAATTAAAAGTAAAAGTTAAGAATATTAGCCAAAGTGGATCATAAATAAGATTTTTAGTAATAACTCAACTCCAGCGCCAACTGTCGGTTGAAATTGTGAAACTACACCATCCAGAGAGCCACTCAAAAGCACACAAAAAACTTCGATAAAACCGGTTCGGGAATTTAGGAGAATTTCACTCACAAACACACAGAAGAATTATATATATGTATACGTTTGTACGGAGCCACGTCCTCTTTTCAAATAGCCAATTTTTCTCCATGAGTATAAGATTGATTTCATTTGCGCCGTGCCAAGTTCCGGTATTCTACCATGAACACTTCCAGAGATATGCAGTATGAAAAATTCGGCTTGCATGGGAGGTGGCACGTCCCATCTTCCAATAGCTCCAATTTTTCTCCAAGGATATGCGATTGATTTCACATATCTCTATACCAAGTTCTGAGTACTGACTCTACCATGAACATTTTCAGAGATATGTAGTATGAAAAATTCAGTATGTATGGGAGGTACCAAGCTCCCTTTTCCAATAACCCCAATTTTTCTCCATGAGTAGGCGTATGTAGCCCATATTTTTCCAGGAATATTAGATTGATTTCATATATCACAGTACCAAGTACCAGTATTCTACCATGAACACTTCCAGATATATGCAGTATGAAAAAAATCGGTTTGTATGGGATGTGCTACGCCCCCTTTATATATCGTTTTTTTTTCGCTATAACCATCCTTGGGACGTCTGAAACATCGAAATGAAATTTGGAAAAAATCGGTTCAGCCGTTCTCGAGATTTGCGAACACATAAAAAACAGCTTTCAAAATATATATGTATTAGTATAGAAGATTGGTATAAATCTAAATAANAAGGATCTTACGCTTTGACTTTATTACGTTTTCGACTGAAGAGTAAATATAATAAAACACGAGAAATATGCAGTGTGAAACTTGCGCTCTTTATTCTTTTGTCTCCTAGTCTCGTCTGATGCACGTGCGCACCTGTCAACGTCATATCCTGTTTTCTTTTAGGGTTGCTTCAGATATTGTCATTACAGGGTGCCTCGTCGTATACTACACTCCTTCCCATTTACCATGGTTCAAAACGTCGTGGTGGTCTCACATGGCGGCCCGATCGCGTAACTGTATTTGCCTTGCTGCTCTGCTGTGGTGACGTCTTTGATTCAAGATTGGGGATCGATGAGTGGGCTTCTTTGGTCTCTGGTAGAGCTAGCAGGAATTGCTTGCCTCAATCGAAGCTTGGGCTGGTAGAGATGGTAACGGTGTCGATGGCGGCTGTGAGCAGTTTACAGGGATGTCTGCGTCTCGAGAGTCGTGCCTCTTTTCTTCATGTGGCAACAACGGCTCAGTAGAGGCTACCACGCGGCGTTTAATTTGGTCGACATGTCGTCGCCCGATTCGCTTATCAGTAGATTGTACTACATACGAGACTGGTCCCGTGACTTCTATACCTTTTCCTGCTAGCCACAACTAGCCCGCAGCGTAATTACGAAAATAAACGGGATCTCCAACATCGAACAGTCTTACCCGACCATCGGCCACATACGGGCGCTGATCCAACTTGTGATCATCAGGGTGCAGCAGATCCAGCAACGTTCGAATTCGACGTCCCATTAATAATTCAGCCGGAGTTTTGCCAGTTGTGGTATGAGGGGTACTGTGCTGTTTTAGTAAGACTCTTTGCAGACGCGTTGAAATATCACCGTGGGTTATTAAATTCAAAGATTTTTTTAAATATTGAACCATTCGTTCTGCCTGGCCATTACTGGATGGGTGATATGGAGCCGAAGTATGGAATTTAATACCGTTTTCCGAGTAAAAATCTCGCAATTCGGCAGAGCTAAATGCCGTGCCGTTGTCCGAAATGATTCGTTTCGGTAAGCCGTGCGTTGCTATAATTTCCCGCAGCTTGTGTTTTACTTCCATGGACGACATGTTACGTACGATTTTGACTTCGAGCCATTTGGACATTGCATCTACTACTACCAGAAATGTGTTTCCCTGAAAGGGTCCAGCAAAGTCGATATGCAGCGTTTCCCAGGGTTGATCTGTACTAGGGATGTGTTGCCTCGGAGCTGCCGGAGGGTTTCCACCGATAATCTGACATTGTTCACATTGTGCAACTTTCGTTTCTATTTGTTTGTCTAGCTCGGGCCACCACACGTAACTTCGAGCGTAGGCTTTCATCGCACATATACCTGGATGATGTCCATGCAACAGTTCTAATATCTGATTTCGATATTTAGAAGGTATGATCACTCTACTGCCCCACAACAAACATCCCTTATGGGTTGATAGCTCGGACCGTCTACGAATAAAAGGACGTACGTCTTCAGATATGTCTCCTTCTTGTGGCCAACTGTGCAGTAGCCATCGCAAAACTCGTGACATTATTGGATGCCTTGAAGTCGCTTCAGCGATTTGTTCCGCTTTTATTGGTGTATTATTCCGCAATTCCAACATGAGCACATCAGCAGGACCTGACATGTCCGCGTCTATGTTTGCACTCAACGGTAACTGGCTAAGGCAGTCAGCGTTAGCATGCTTCTGCCCTGGTCTGTACTCCAACTGATAGTCATATGCAGCCAACAACAGACACCAACGTAGCATTCGGGGTGAAAGCATTTGTGCGGTGCTTGTTTTATTGCTCTTACCTTTTCTTCATTTGGCGAAATTCCTTTATGGCTAATATTATATCCCAGGAAATCAATTTTTTGTCGAGCAAATGAGCATTTTGCCTTATTCACAGTTAAATTGGCTCCTTCTAGCTTCTTGAGTACTACCTCTAAATTACGAAAATGATCATTCTCATCTTTTCCGGAAATAATAATATCGTCGAGGTATGCCTTGACACCTTTCACTCCGGCTAGGAGATTATCCATGTATTTTTGGAAAATTCCGGGTGCTGCTGATATACCAAATGGTAACCGCCGAACTTTAAACAATCCCAAGTGGGTGTTAAGTGTCAACAATTCTGCCGCAAAGTCATCTACGACTAGCTGCTGGTAGGCCTGCTGCAGGTCCAATTTCGTAAACAATTTCGCGCCCGTGATTTCCGCCTTTACCTCAGAAAAAAGTGGTAATGGATATGTATTTGGCTTAATCACGGCGTTTACAGTACTGCGATAGTCCCCACAAATCCTCATAGTACCATCTTTTTTAATGACTGGTACAATTGGCGTTGCCCAGTGTGAAAAAAGCGTTGGCTCCAACACTTTCTGCGCCACTAACTTTTCAATTTCTCTTTCTACGGCTGGTTTCCAAGCGATAGGACACGGCCTGTATTTACGAAAAATCGGCTGAGCTCCTGGTACGATTTCTAACGATATGGCAGGGCCATTATGCGCGCCCAAATGTTCGCTGAACACCGAGTTCTATTTCTTCTCTAACATGGTGAGGTCCGTTGGAACATCTACTGTCAATACTCCGTGCACCGTAATCCCTAACGCGTCAAACCAATCTCTACCCAGCAAACACCTGCCGCCACCTGCAATGACCAAAACGGATAATACGTACTTTTGCTTATTGTATTCGACATTCACCCGAGCTGATCCCAAAACATTGAGTTTTTCTTTCGACCACGTTTGCAGCATGATATTGGATGGCCTGAGGTCGCGATTACCCAGGTTTATGCGGTTCCACGTTGTCTCCGAGATAACCGTAAACGCCGCACCGGAGTCTACTTCAAATGATTCTAACACACCGTTGAGGTACATCCCCGTTAGAATCTTTTTTGTGGACGTGGCTTGAACTGTATTGAGTTCATAAAAGTAATTATTTTCTTCTGCCGCTGGCCCTGTGTCCTCCGCCTCTCCATCTAATGCGTGGACTGCAAGTTTCTTGCGGTCATGTGCTCTCTTTTTGAAACACGCTTTCATAGAGTGTCCTTTTATCTGACAAAATTCGCATTTCTTATCTTTAAAATGACACTTGTTTGCAAAATGGCTGCCCTCACAACGGAAACACTGCAACTTTTCTACTTTCCTGGGTTTATTCTTCATTAACACCGCCAAAACGTCATTACCATTGCCGCCCACANAAACGTCATTACCATTGCCGCGCACGTCCCTTACATTGCGGTAAGCCGCTTCATGGGCGATTGCTATCTCGTACGCACGTTTAAAGTCTAATCTTGTTTCGCTAAAAAGACGTTTTTGCAGCGCTTCTTCTGCCACTCCGCATACAATTTGATCCCGCAACATATTATCCAGTTCCATGAAGCCACAATGTTCCGACAGTTTACGCAAGTCTTTTACGAAATCAGCTATTGTATCCCCACTATTCTGGTGCCGCTTATGGAACGCAAACCGCTGCACAATCTCATTTGGTTTTGGATGAAAGTGTTTGTCGAGTTTTTCAAAGATTTCATGAAACGATACGTCTTTTGGAGTCAACGGCGTCAATAGGGAACGGATTATTTCGTAAGTTAATTCCCCGACGCATGATAAGAAAATCGCCCCTCATCGACGTATCGTTAGCTATTCCATTGGCTTCGAAATAAAACTCCATTCGTTCTT